TGCTATTTATAACTAGAGTCTCCAGAGCTGTGAAATTGTAGGAAAGCAACCTCTACCTTGGAGGGCTTTTGTCACATGTCTTTCTTCCTTCTTTGGTAGGAAATCATGACAGGCAGAATTCTCAAATAGTTCTTTTATGTTTCCTCTGGTTGGTACCAACAAGATCTCTCAAACTAAACTTTATATTTGTCAAAATTATCTAGCCTTAAAGTCCTCAACATGCTTCTCTCTTTCACTTAGCTCTGGCTAACCCGCTGGACTAACCCTTTTGATCCTTTCTTCTGACTCTACTCCCCCTGTCTTATCTTCACTTCAAATTGAGCATAATTTATACAATGATGTCTATGTAGGTTAGATATTTTATTGACTTGGACTGGAATATCGGATGAAATACATTAAGTGCTTGTTAACTAAAAGCTAATGTGGAGGTGGGTGCCTGTGGTTCACACCTGCAATCCTAGCTACTCAGGAGGCAGAGATCAGGAGGATCAAAGCCAGCCGGGCAAATAGTTTGCAAGACCCAATCTTGAAAAACCCTTCACACACAAAAAAAGGGTTGATAGAGTGGCTCAAAGTGTAGGCCCTGAGTTTAAACCCAAGTACCACACACACACACAAAAAAAGGTAATGTGAAATGCTGGACTAGGTACCCATATAAACATATAAAGCTTAAAACAATTTGAATAGAGTTCAAAAAGAATGACTATATTGTGTTTCTTCTACTAGAAAACTTAAAGGATATACTTCACCTTATGAGTCATAGTTTAATTAGATTACATTTTATTAGACATTCTTTACAAATTTAAAATATTGCTGTTTTTACATGCACAGAGGAAAATCAGTTTGGATAATTATATTTAGGCATCCATTAAAGTCAACCACAAAATAGAGATACTTTATTGTGCCATTTATCAACATACTTGATATGTATATCTAAAGTGCATTATGTTACAAAAAATATAGAAATTCAGCAGCACCAAGATACATTTACAAAATAAATACATCAATTGACAAAATAAATTATGGTAAATGTAATTGGATTAGCCTTGGCAAAAAAGAAAAAATATTCACAATGGCCAATGTGCAGTTTCATAGAGCAATGGGGGAGACAGTTTTATTCTAATGCATTTACAGTATTTACAGACAATAAATATTTCTAATACTTTCCATATGTTTACTATTACAAAATTCTGTAATACGTCCTTGGAAGGTCTCTGCTGAAAATTTCAATGCCTCCTGCAAAGAGAAGGAAGGGAAAGAAAAGGAGAAAACAGTTCAATTTTCCTTATAGAATGGGAGGGCATAAAATAAAGGACAGAATCACAATGGAAAAAGGCCCAAGGGACTTCCAGTAACTTTCTCCTTTCTACAAGGTGCTTTTGGGGTCCGATCCACCTGTCTCCAGAACTTCTGCTACAGGCAGGGTCCCCAGCCTGATGAAATGATCCATGTGGTACAGGAAGAAAAAGGGCCTGCATTTCTAATTGTGTTCAATTGGAAAAAGACAACCCTGCAAGAATTTTGCAAAGCTGTCAGCTGGCAAGTTTGGGAAGGGGCAAATCTGATAATCTGGACAGAAGGCTAGTTTGGGACGCTTGTCATCAATATACCTCGCTTAGAAGTTTATTCCCCAATTTTTCAACCACTCATTTGGCCAGTCTCTCACTAACTTAATGGATTGTGGTCACAGTAGTAAAAGTGTGGACTTTGGGTAAATGTTGGAAGGCCTTGTAGTTAAATAGAGCATGTTTAGTTGGTGATATGCTAATAGCTGTTGCTTCTTTAGCAGTCCTTAAACACTAATGTGTGAAGCTGTTATTGGATTTTAGTTTTAAAAGACATTGTGTTTTTTGAGAACTGTGAATTCATAATTGTGTTTTTTGATCTCAGTGTTTTGAATGGATCTTGCATTAGAAATTAGAAAAGATTATTCTAAATGAGACAATACTTAGGATTTTCAGGTAAGAAAAAGGTAATGTTTTACATCATTTTTCTTTTCTTTTTTTTTTTTTGTGTGGAATTGGTACTTGAGAACTCAGGGTTTTAAACTTGTGAAGTAGGTGCTTTACCACTTGAACCATGCCTCCAGTCCATTTTGCTCTGGTTATTTTGGAGAAAGGGTCTCACAAACTATTTCCCTGGGCTGGCCTCAAACTTCAATCCTTCTGATCTCAGCCTCCCAAGTAGCTAGGATTACAGGTGTGAGCCAATGGCACCCAACTGCATTTTATTATTCAGAATAAGTTACTACTTGGGATTGACACCTTTTCTAAATTATCTAAATACTGTAATGACAGTGTTTTAAGACAGGTTAGTGGTTTTCTCCCTCTCTTTCTCTTCTTTTTGAGCAGTCTATTTCAGTGAATATGTATTTGTTTCAAAGGAAACAGGTATAGAATGGGATTTGATTGTCTGTGTCATTGAGTTAATAGCCAGAGTTGTGGGCAGGTTCACATGGCAGACATGTATGAGCGTGAGACCTACAAAAGAGCAAATTCTTGGCAGCTTTGGAGTTTACATAAAAGCTGCACATAGCAGCTTAAAGAAAGAAAGCAAGTTGAGCATGTAGGATGTTCTAATGATTTTGAGAATTGATCTCTTCACCCATGGTTTTGGCTGGAATGTTAAAATGCTTCCTAACTGCAGAGAAAAGTTTAAGATTAAAATTTTTTTTTTCATTTTTCTTTTATTATTCATATGTGCATACAAGGCTTGGTTTATTTCTCCCCCCTGCCCCCACCCCCTCCCTTACCACCCACTCCACCCCTCCGCTCCCCCCTCAATACCCAGCAGAAACTATTTTGCCCTTATCTCTAATTTTGTTGTAGAGAGAGTATAAGCAATAATAGGAAGGAACAAGGGGTTTTGCTGGTTGAGATAAAGATAGCTATACAGGGCATTGACTCACATTGATTTCCTGTGCGTGGGTGTTACCTTCTAGGTTAATTCTTTTTGATCTAACCTTTTCTCTAGTACCTGGTCCCCTTTTCCTATTGGCCTCAGTTGCTTTAAGGTATCTGCTTTAGTTTCTCTGCATTAAGGGCAACAAATGCTAGCTAGTTTTTTAGGTGTCTTACCTATCCTCACCCCTCCCTTGTGTGCTCTCGCTTTTATCATGTGCTCATAGTCCAATCCCATTGTTGTGTTTGCCCTTGATCTAATGTCCACATATGAGGGAGAACATACGATTTTTGGTTTTTTTGAGCCAGGCTAACCTCACTCAGAATGATGTTCTCCAATTCCATCCATTTACCAGCGAATGATAACATTTCGTTCTTCTTCATGGCTGCATAAAATTCCATTGTGTATAGATACCACATTTTCTTAATCCATTCGTCAGTGGTGGGGCATCTTGGCTGTTTCCATAACTTGGCTATTGTGAATAGTGCCGCAATAAATGTGGATGGATGTTATCAATAAAGTTAAAAAATGACCTCAAAACTCAATAATTTGTATATTGTGTTTGTACTAATGGTATTTAGTGAATTAAGTTTAAGAATAATAAAAAAGAGGAAATAGACAAAAATTTATTGTCTATTTAAATTATTAAACAATATTTTTTCTCAAAAAAAGAGAGAAAAAAGAAATAAAGAACCAAGGAAAATATCTTTTGATTGTTTTTCATCTTGTCTAGACAGTTTACTTATCTTTCTTTTTGAATTCTTTTTTAACAAAGGCAAGTATTTTAAAGTCAAGTAAAATACATAATAAGACTTAAAACTATGCATATCCATTATGTGTATATGATAACACTTTAGAATTCTAGCACTTTTGACTACTGAAAAGCTTTTTATATTTTTCTAAGTCAATATTGGCTAACTCAAAATACATGATTTCCAATAAATGAGTTCTACTGTATCTGGATACCACAACATCAAAAGTTTTAAACACAATGTCTAAAATTAAAAGTTATATATTTCACCTAAACAGTTCATATGAGAGGAAAGAGACAATTTTTCCTAGTAGTTTCTTTTAAAAATATAACACATATATTACAATAAAGCTCATGCTTGCCACTTCATTGAACCTCTCAGATCACTGTATCACAGTGCAAAGAGACTAAAAAGAGGATATTAATTAAAAATTGGTCACTTATAAAACTTTAAAAAACTTATTCTGAAAAGGTTTGATTTGGGTTATAAAAACTTGCAGGGCCCCACACAGTCTCATCAACACACACTCTTCTATGCACCTCTGGTGGGTTGTACCAAGAAAGTGCCAACATCTGGCTGCTAAACAAACACTTCTTTCCATGAATGTTGGTCACAAGCAGGAAGGTGATAGGAAAAGCAGGCACAAACTATTTTTTTCAGTCTGGACCTTGATTTGATTAGGTCACTGCCTAATTTACACTAGATGTACTTAGGAGTAGCTTTGGGCATAAGAACTGGTGAGTATTGATTTTCATTATTTCTCCAGATACTTAAAGAACGTTGCAAATTTTAAATGAGAAAAATCCATAAAAATCATTTCTACTTGTTTTCATAAGGGTAATGAATAAAAAAGTAGGTCTCAGAAGTAGAATTCTTCATTTGTTATAAACATTTAGTGTACTTAGTGTACACTTAGGCTCATATCTTAATAAAGATATAATCTTTTGGAGAGTACTGGAGTTTGAACTCAGGAGTCTGTGCTTGCTAGGCAGGCACTCTGCCACTTGAGCCACACATCCAGCCCTATGATCATATCTGAAAACACACTGCCTACTGCAGTGAGTCAGGAGTGTAGGGTGTATATCCATTACAGATCCATCAGCTATTTGCAGACTAGATCATTCACCATGTTAAAGATTTCTTTGGTTCCCTTGCCCATAGATTGTTGAAGCTGTACTACTTGTACAATACAATTGCTATTTTCTATGCAGTTTAATAATGGATTTGCCAGCATAACTCAGAGAGAAATGTGGTAAATAGGTTCAAACTCCCCTTTGAAACATTGCTCTGTAATTCAGAGTCAAAAGGCTGGTGAAATAACAGGGGAATCTTTAAATAATGAGATTGTTAGTTACATCTGATGTGCTCTTGTGATGTTTTTCTTTTACTTTCAAACCTCACAATAGTGTTGTACTGAAAAGTAGAACAAAACAAAACAAAAGGTCCTAACAATGGACATGCATAGTCAAAGAAGTAGCGCTAACACAGCACTGGTCTAAGGGTCAGGAAATGGGGAGTGAATCTAATACTGAGGACTACTTATGCCAATTCCAAGGAATTTGGGTGCTTTCATTGTGGAATGCTATTTTATTTTATAAAGTAGAAAATATCTGCCCCCATCTTGACTAGCAGAAGCCCTGCATGTATGTAATAAATAGTATATACATGTGGTATAAACAGACGTAGGTCTAAAAGCACCAAAAAAAAGTTGAGATTTATTGAGCGTTAATGACGATCTTATTTCATTTAGTCTTCACTCAACTCTATGAGGTTAGTACACTTATTATCTTCATCTATTACATGAGTCATTTATTTGCCCAAGGTGGTGAACTTCAGTGACTTCAGATCCAGAACCTGAGCCTAACTTACTTTACTCTAAAATCTTTGAGTGTCTTCCTACCTGGATCTGTGAGCAAAGGATAATCCAGCCACAGAAAGTGCAACATTTTATTATTCCCACTGCATTCCTATGGAAAGATTATGTCAACATACTAAGGGACAAATGGATACATGAGAAAAACTTAAATCTTTCTCAAATCAATAATTAAACATTTTCAGAAACTATTTCTTTTTCATGAGTTGGCAGAAACCAAAGTTAAGTTTCAGTAAAAAACAAATTTAAAATATGTTTGAAAAATTAACTTAATGTCTTTAAATTAAAAGGATTTTAAATTTTAATTAAGTACATTTAATTAAATGATGTGTGAATGGCTCAGAATTGTTTATGGTAAGATATTGTTCTGCAGTATTTGTAGATAATATCAAAGCCTTCCAGGTTCTTCCCTGAAGGGAAGAAAGAAGTAAGAAAGTCTGCCAAAATGGGGACGTGGGGGAATCAATAGATTTTTCCAGCAGATTTTGAAGATGGCCACTAGCTTCTGAAGTTACTAAAATGAAATCATTAGTAGATTATGAAGGGTTGGTGCTGGGATGTGATGGTGAAGACGAGGGGTGCAGGGTACAACTGTGCTCTGGCCTATCTTGGCTTTGTAAACTGCTCCATTCTGTCGCAATTGCTTCAGGGACAGAAAGGGAGAATTGTAGGATTGTCCTGGTCAAGGTCAAGGGCGCTAAGAAACCCAGCGTGGGGAACCGGCCTAGGAGCAGCGTGGTCAGCCGGGGGACTGGGGGACAGGTCCCTTACCGTGGGTCGAACTCCAGCGGGGAGGTGGAAAGGTGGAAGTCGCCGTCCTCGTCCAGTCCGCTCTCGGCCGTCCCCGAACCAGGCCAGGCCGACCGGGTCCGCCGTTTCTTCTTTTCCTGCTCCTTGCGCTTGCCAGGCTTGCCTTTCTTCTTCTTGCCGGGCGGCTTGAGGGGCTGCTCTTTGTACTGCTCCACCTTGTTGGTTTCCTGAGTTAGGTATCTGCCCTCATCCTCAGAGCCGAACCGCACCGGGTGGTTCTTGGTGTTGGGAGCAGGCTTGGAGTTGGGGGAAACCTCGGAGGTAGCTCTGATTTCGGCCGTGTGGATTTCTGCGATCAGGTGGTGCAGGAAGAACCGGCGGCGCAGGTCCTGGATGGACTTGCCCTTGTCATGGAGGAGCTGGTGCTCTGACACAGCCCTTTTGCTGTCAGAGGGAAGAAGACAGTTAAGTTGGAGTTGGACACAGACACAAAGGTGTGAGGAGAACCCTTTACTTGTCCTGTTGGGCCCTGCAGGTCACAAGATGGGGAATAGCCAGCTGGCTGAGCAGGGAAGGGAAAGGATGAGCAGTTAGAAGGAAGCTCCCAGGCAGTGATGCTCACCAGGTTTGTGAGGGTTTGGTGAGAGCAGGAGCAGGAGCAGGAGCAGTCTAGGGCTTCATTTTATACAAGGGATGGTCAAAGGAAGATGTATCTATGTTGGCTTCCCAATTTAAAATGGTACCATTCAGTTATGTTCAAATATGGACACAAACAGCCAGGCCTGATGGTTGCACACCTGTGACCTCAGCTCTTGAGAGACTGAGAGGGGTTTGAAGCCAGCCTGGGCTACATGGCAAGATCCTATCTTAAAAACAAAAACAAAAAAAGAAATAGACAGGAACTACTGAGCTTCTCCTCCCATTTTTCAGAGTTCTGTTAGGGGAATATATCCAGGTGTCCTGTTCCAGGAAATAAAAAGGAAGCTGCTTTTACCTGGGGACTCTCCTAAGTCTATCCACTGTACACACATTCACACATATGTGCACACACACACACACACACACACAGTTGCCCGTTAAGAAAGTAATACTGAATCTCAAAAAAAAGAAAAAAACAAAAACAAAAACAAAAAACACCCAGCAAGTTGTAAGAATAAAGGGCAAAAAAGGCTGAGGATGAAATTACCAGCCTGTCTGGGAACCCATCTAACTCATGGCTAGATTTAGATGAGTGTCTACCAAGAACCTGTATTTGAAGTTCAAGTTAGAGAGAGAGAAAGAGAGAGAATGAACTTCATTTTTCTACTTGCTCTCTTTCTCTTAAAATAGCTCTAGGAACAAGTGTGAAGTGTCTTTTCTATTTAAATAATACTCTAATGAAAGTATAGTGAAAGGAATCAACTAATTATCACTCTTGAGATGATACCCTGACTCTTGCTTCAATGCCCCTTAGTGTATTCTTTTATTATTCTGCTACATTGTTATGTTCACTATATTTAAGGAACACATATATGAACCAGTCATAGCGTGCCTGTTTCAACACAGACTTTTTTTTGTAGCCTAGGCTGGCCTTGAACTATGGAATCTCCTGCCTCAGCTTCCCAAGTGCTGGGATTGCAGGTGTGAACCACCTCACATGGCTTTAACTTAGTTATACTGAACTCCAATTTCTAACATTGGAATAACCCTCCAAACTGGCTCATCTTGAAAAGTATCTGAGTGTATTTCACAGGCTACATCCCATGCATCTTTTTATGTTTTTGAGACAGGTTCTCGCTATCTTTATCTCATGTATTCTTGCTTCTCTTTCAGAATGGTGTCTGGAGCTCTTGTTGTCTTTGCAGTACAACTTCTCACTTCCTCAGAGAAATATGAGGATAAATAAATAGCTTTATTATCCACCATGTGAAAATGTCCCCTTTTTACAGATGGGGAAAATGAAGCCTACAGACTCAATGAGCTTTCCACAGTGAAAAGTGGCAGAGCCAGTGGTGCTCGATGTCCTCAATCTGTTCTTCTGGCAGAGTCAAAGCCTATGTTGATGAAACAAGAGGGCAGGGCACATGGTAATGAGCCTCTACAATAGTGGGCAAACTAGACAAAAATGTGCATTGCCTTGAAAACCAAATGCTCCAAAAGTCCATTTTCATCACCACAACAAAGATCTAAGATTCCTAGAGCTTGCTTTATCATTGGGATGAGCAAGTCAAAGAAGAGAGCAAGAGATGAAAATACAGTCATCATTTCTCTGACCACTATAGCCAGAATGCCAGCTTCTTTCTAGTATTTTATTTTATTGTGGGGCCTGACTTTAAGCCATGCAACTTGTTCAAAAAAGACATGACTGAATGGAAAGGAATTTAACAGGAGCCTGGTTTAAATGAGGCATGAAGGAGTCTCTCTTCATTTTTGAAGGTGCCACATGTGACTAGATTAAAATTCACTTACTTTGGCAATACTTAGAACTCTGGAAACTTTTAATAATCTACAATTTGAGGTTTGGTACAATGTATTTATATCCCTTCATGGAATTTCTAGAGAGTAGGATTGATTTGATTGCATATTTCATAAGCACTGCAGTTTAATAAGTATCTTTTACCAAATTGTCTCTAAGAAATTCTTAACCAGTGATAATTGATAGTAGTGGGAGCTATTATTTCATTCTCAGTTCCTGGCCAAAGCCCTCTCCATGTGTATTAGGTCTCCAAATCTATTACACAGCCCATTCTAGCTTAACTGAAAGCCAAAACGGCTCTGAGTTAATGGTTGGTCCTTTTGAATCAAGCCACCATTGCTCATGCCCCTCTGATTGGCATACATGCCTGTCATCTTGGCCAGCCTGTCAACTGTGAGTCACAGTGCCTTTCCAACTCCAGAGCTGTACTTTCCCAGGATGGTTCCCATGGGAAGTTCAATGACCATTCTATCCTTCTGCCTCAGAACAAGCAAATAATATGGCACAATTCTGTCTAGTTTAAAACAGTATGTCTCTTGTGAAGCACACTGATTTTTAGAGGAAATTGTCAGTATATTGGGAAACACAAATTTTTTTAAATGCTAAATATGAACTGCTTTAGACAAGTTATTTTAGTATTTTAGAAATTTATGTCTTTAAATCAAGTAAGCTATGATCTTCTCTGATTATTGTAAAAAAAATTGCCAAACTTTGAGGGAAATGCTTAATTAACACAGATAGCTAAGTTTGGTTAAAGCATAGCTGTTTTGCTCTAAAGACAACTTATTCTCAAGGGAAGATCCAGAGAAAAAAGATTAAATTTCTAAGGTACTATCAAGGAACAGAGGGAATATATGGTAGTGGAAATTCCTCTCCCAGCACAGGAAGAAGCCTGATTGTGCTGATGTGAGGCTCCTAAGGCAAGACTGTGTTTGAGAAAAGCTCTGTGGTACATGGAAGAGACAGGGTTAGGGTGTTAGAGTGAAGATGACTCATCAGAAGTCCCTTCCAGCCCATGACTCAGTTGAAAGTTATGCTTTTCATTAAGTGGGATAGACCCAGTCTGGCTCTCAAGCACATCAGTCAATGATGCTTCAGGGTTCTTAGTCTTTTGGGGTTCCCTCACTAACTTAAATACAGAGGTAGCCACTGCCAACCCATGTTCATCTGCATAAGAGCATCCATCAGATCCTACCTTCAATCTCCAACTTAATCATGCTCTAGCCTCATTAATTAAAATCTTCTGGATTAACACATAGCAACTTATAATCGCCTCCTTTGAATGCTGTAGGAAATACTGTAATAGTAGTTTTCTCTCTATTGAAAAGGTAATCTCTAGTTTTTAAAAAGTCTATACTTCTTAAGTTTCCCTAATGCGTGGTATGAAAATTAGGGAATAATATGGTTTTCTTATGTTAAACTTCTTTCAAGAAGCTAGCCTGATTTTGTGTAACAGTAGATGAATATTTTGTCTAGCACACAAAATTTACTGTTACTTGGCAGCAATGCAGCAATAATGACTTGTTTTTTAAACTCCATTTGGCTGTAATAATTTGATGAAACATCTTCATCTACTGATGATTTCAGCTTCCATGAAAAACCGTGGTTGCAATGTGATCTATTAGCCATTAACTGTGAGAATGCTTTGTGGTGGCTTTATGACCATCTGCTGAGTGTGAGTGTTTAATTACAGTATTATATTTCACCCACAAACAAAACTAGAACAGAGTCTCTGGCTGCTAAATAGTTTCTGATGTGGATTTTGCAAGGTGCAACAAAAAGAGTTAAAAATAGCCATTAGGACTATATTTATGCTGTAATTGTAGATTTAATCACGGTTCTCTTACTGTTTCTCAAAAGAGAAAAAGGCATTTTTAAAGCAACTATAAGGAAAAATTGGCCCTGTTCCAAGGCAGTATTTCTTAGCCAAATAAATACAGTACGTAAGTGTGCTTTTAAAAATTCAGTCTTCATCTATATTTATATTTGGATGTTAAATAATTGAATTTAGCACAAGTCTCAAATGAGCAAGAAGTCTGAAGACAATTTTCAGAAATATATCAGCAAAACATTGATTTGCAGAATACAATGCAGCTTTATCTTCCGTACAATGTTCTACACAACTTGCCTTAGGAGATTCATAATAGATTTTCATTTTGGTGCCAAGGTTCAGACATGTCTAAAGTAATTTCATTTAAGGATTTTCTGCTCTAAGAATAATAATAGACCAAAGGCACATATAAAACAGTTACCTTTTTGTACATCCTTGGGAATGTATGAGGAAGCACCATGAGCCTGATGGCAAATACTAGATATTGCCATTCTTATTGCTCAGTGTAAAAGTTCCCCTTAATTCCTTCTCCAGAGTCAAACTCTTCTCCATTCTTAAAGTTTATGGTTTTCCCATCCTGAATATTGAGTCTGCAACTTAAAGATCTCTGAAGATAGTCTTACACACATTAATGAACTGCTTAGTCCAACAGATTGTTAAAATAGTGTTAGTATATGACTCTTGCAACTTTTCAATACACCATAGTGATGCTTGGATATATAATTGTTTCAAAGAGTTATCCTTAAAAGAATCACCAACTGAAAATGCCAAAACACAAGTCTTCAGACTTGTGCAAATATATATACCAGATTAAAGAACTGCTAGCAATAATTCCAAGAAAAAGCAAACCTCCACACCTTAAGTTCATTTTGGAATCAAGCACGCTAGCCTTCCCAAACAGTATCAATACTAACGTTGGCAATATGCCACCTGCAAAGTTGTTACTACTTTATTATATAATATGCCTTCGTTATGTAATATGGTTCATTTCATATGCTTAAAATTATGTCATTCACAATAAAATTAGATGGGAGGTTTTTGCTTTTCACACACAAACTGCCACCCACATTCAATACGTACACACGCGCACACATATGTCCCCAGAATAGCTCAGCTTCCCCAGACTTTCAAAACCTTTCTGGGTCCTCCAAGTAACCCCGTTCTTCCAGGACAGGCAGGGGATTTTTTTTCTTTTCCCCCAAGAGAAGATTCTGTAAAAGTCTCCCTTTTATGGAAAGGCACATCAAATTTGTCTCTCCTGTTCTGGCTGGTCTCTCAGGTTCAGTCCTTGCAGGTAGCCAGATGACCCCTCTCTCTAACCCGGGCAAGGAGCGTAGGTGACCGCTGTGAGCCCTCGGCAGCGCCCCAGCCTGGCAGCCTTTCCCACTGGCCTTGCTAACCCGCGCCTAAGAGAGGGAGGATGGGGCACTTACAGCCGGCGGCCGAGCCCCTCCACCGAGCGCCCGCAGGAGGGCACCGAGTAGCTCAGCAGGAACACCGCGACGCTCCACTGCTGAAGCAGCTTCCGCAGCATGGTACCTCGCTCTCCGGACCTGTAACAGAGAGGAAGGGGACCCAAGCGTCAGTCCGCGCTGTCCATCTCCCACGCCGCCCGGCTCCCTCTTCTAGCCCGTTCTCAACATCAAGGGCATCTCTTAAGTTCCAAAGGGATAAAAAAAAAAAAAAAAAAAACCCAAAAACTTTCCTGGAGTCTCGCAGCACTTACTTATTCAGGACTCAGCTACTCCAACCGTGCTTCTCCCAAACCGCACAGGCAAAAAGGGACCCAGAAGCGGGGGAGGTGGGTAATCAGAGGCGCTTCCTCCGAAATATAGCGAAAATGAAATGGTTTTATATATGCATCAGTGATGCATCGCGTGTTTACACGTCTCCCATAGCAATGTCTAATTACTGTGGCCAGGCGTTCTCGTGGGTTCGTGGGGCAGGGCTAACCCCTCCTGGAAGAAGAAGTCTCCCCGAAGTCAGCTTCTTCACCAAGCAGGTCCTCTGCTTGCAGAACCACTTGTAGCGAGACCCACATATATATACATAGCTGTCTGTCTACCTCCTCTGGTGGGCTGGTTGCTTCCGGAAAGTTGATTCCACACACCCTGAGAACAAGTTTCAAGTGCGCGTGTCGTCGATCAGGAAGGCCAGGTGGCAGCGAGGGCGGGTCACCGCGGCGCGGAGGGGCGGCTCCGTTCACGGGCGGGGAGGCATGCTGGCCGGGCGGCGCAGGTTGGAGTGTTGCTGAGAGCCGGGCAGAGGAAGGTTCACACGCTCCGCTCCTAGGCAAACCTGCTGGAGAAGTGAGCGAGTCGCAAAGAGGTGGCGCCCTAGGAACGCGCGCGGGGCAAGAGAGGGCGCGGGCTGGCTCCCGGGGGGCGGGGGCGGCGACGCGGGCCCGAGCGATCGCCGGGCGCCCGGAGTCGGGAATGCAAGGCGAGCTGGGGCTCGGGGAGCCCCCCGGAGCCGGGCCGAACACCATCCCGGAGAGCGGCGCTGGCAGCGCCATCCCCGGAGCGCGGCCGTGGGTGGATCCGCTGGTTTCCTCCCCGCCCGGCTGGCTCCAGCCGGAGCCGCGGATCCGGGAGCTGAGGTCCCACGCGGGAGCCGAGACCACCAAGGGCGGACGGGCGAGGACAAGGCCAACGAGCCGGAGCGGAGGACCGCGGGCGCCCGGGAGTCAAGGCCGAGGCGACACGGGCCGTGGCCTGTGATTGTAAGGATCCCTAAGCTCGCCTGGAAGCTCGGGGTGCTCTTTGGGAACGGTCTTCTCCGTCCCCCGGAAGAGCTGAGCGGGGAGAGCATCAGCTAGGAGGGGAGGGGGGTGATCTTTCGATTAGGGAGCAAACCCAGTTTCAAACTTGAGGTCGAGACTGCACGTCTTGGTGTTTGGGAACAGTTGGGGACCTCTGGAGTCCGCCCAAGAAGCCTGCGCACAGGATGGAGACCGCTTTTGGATTGCAGAAGGGGACTTGGAGCGCGCGCATGGCCCTTTCACTGCGGGCAGGAGACCAACCCGCACTTCCCTGATGCCCCCTCGGTGGTCTCTGGTCCCCGAAGCCCCGGGTTACAGAGACTAGGGTAACTGTATCCAAGTCGCTTCACTGGCAGACGCAGCGAGACTGTTGTAGGCTGCTGTTGTCGGGGGGAAGCTAAGGCAAAGCAAGGGTTCTTCCCAAAACTCTTGGGCAGGAAAGAAAGTGCTCTGAATTACTAGGTCTATCTGCTAGGAAAGGATTTCGGCGGGTGTGGATGCCACCCCCACGGGTTCCTCTGTACTTCTGAAATGAACTCAAGTGCCTGGGAACCACTCAGGGGATGTTTGCTTCTAGACAGTCCTGCTGGTAGGTTTCATTACTCTCTAGAACACTCGTGCTATTCAGAGCTTTGAGGTGATTAAGGGAGTCTGACCTTTATCAAGCCTGGGCTGTCCCACTGATGCTCCACAGACTTTTACCGAGAGTGAGTGAAATAGCGCCCTCTCACCACCGACACTCGCTCTTCTGGGCTTCCCCCCCCCCCCCCCCCCCCCCCCCACCCCCAAGCTAGCTAGCAGATAACGTTTACTTCTCTGGGGCCTTTGGGTGGGGCCCTCTGTTCTCAGAAGCTCCTATTGCTCTCAGCTGATTACTTTAAACTCTATACTTTAAAAAGCTTGGCTTCCTCCCACCTTAAAAAAATCTCTGGGAATTTCCACAGCTTCCCTTGAACACTGAAGAATTTCTAACTGTTAGACTTGCTTGCATGGCATAAAAGGACAAAGTATCAGCACTCAGAAATGTCAGTCTTTCAACCTCTAATACTTTCTGATTTACAGTAAATTCTTTCCAAAAAGACACAGGAGCCTTAATCATTAGATCTGAATGGGGGAAATCTGTAAAAAATAGAGCAAATCACAATGAACCATTTAATACTTGCAAGTTGTTTAACACTAAATGACAATATTTACTTCCACAATAAAAAATCCAAAGGTAGTTCGCCAAGTTTCAAATTACCCAGGCTAAATCAACCTTCCCCCAATAAAAGGTTCAAATAAAAATCAAATCCAATATCAAATCAACTGTGTTGTAAATAAATTGATTATGCTCTCAGAACATTAGAAATTAAAGGCTGGCATCAATAGATGGCTTTGATTGATGTTGCTTTTTCTACTAATTAAAAAAAATTGATTCCATCTCCCTCCCTCCTCCCCCCCTTTTCTGGTGTTAATGGCAAAATATCTATCAAATATTTTTAGAATTTCCTCTCCTCCACAAAAAGAGAAAATATAGACACAGGAAAAATAAATAGTCTTTATAGACTTGGAACCCTGAACTTTCCTCATAATTTATTACTTCACCTTTTCCTTGATTTACAGGCTTCTCTGTGCTCTTCTGTCCAAAGAAAGGAGATCTCAGAAGTTTCTCTCAGAAATAAGTTTTTGTTGTTCTTCAAAAAAAAAAAGTATAAGTAAGTCTTCAATGAATTAAAAGTTTCTGTAAGGAAACCTTTTCTGTACTTGTTGACGGTGATTATTAGAAAGCAGGTACCTTTCCTGAGCTACCCTGCTTGTTACTTACAGCAGAAATTCTGTTCAATATATATACCAATGGCCCTGACTTTTTGCCTCTTCTGAAAATGTTTTCTGACATCATACTCTACCTCCCAATATAATGCCTGCTGGGAGAATGCTGAGTACACATGACTACAAATGAGGCAGTAGGACCCCCCTCCCCGTTTCTTGAGGTTTAGGAATAGGACAATTGCCAATAGAGTCTAAATGTTTGCTTAGATCCTGCTGTCACATAAACTCACCTTAGCAAATAGGAGGATTTGAAGGCCTACTTTTAATCTGCAGTATTTCCATGTGAAGACAGCACAGCATTGTGAGATCTACACCTACATGAATGCCTAGCTCATGAGCAAGCTCCAGACTTCCATCTTCCCATCCACAGTGTCAGTTTATTAAATCCAACCATGAAAGAGGTTTTCTAAATTTTTAAGTGTATTACTCTTAAATTCATGTTGAATCACCAGTCGATGTACATCACCAGGATATTTCCTCTTAGGGAAAAATAAAACAAAACACTAGCCTCTATGCCTAGCTTCTTCATCTTTCTTCCTTCTTAGTCCAAACAACAAGCAAACAGAATGACATTACAAACAAATATAGTTCTTTATACAGGACACCGTGGGCTCAGGAATTCTATTGCTCATAAGCATACAGATTTAACATTTACCAATAAGTCGTATCTCTAAAACCCTATAAAACCAAAGAAGTAACCACAGCCCTTCTCTTCTCTGAACTTTTTCTCTGTTTTTGTAGGAAAGTTGCATCATGAGCTTAAGCACTATTCGATTCCATTAGAACATGGTCCTAGTCACTTGCCTGGACTGATTTTTGAGAGAAGGCTGTTGCCAGTTAACCTCAAGTTCGCAAAAAAAGGCAAAGAGATATAATGCCTCCAAATCCTAAGTAAGGATAGGAAAAGTGTGTTTCATTGTTATGTCTCTTAGTAGTTAGAGGAAGATATGACTCCACTAGGAGAGGGACTGGCTGCTACCATCTGGTGGGACTTTGTCAGGGAGGGGAGCTTTGAAATGTGTCAGGCCCATGGGATCTTCCCCATCGTTGGAAAAGTGGGCCTTACATCCTCCTTGTCCTTTCTTACTTCCTTGGCATATAGAACCAGAAAACTCACCAGGGAGGTGGTTTTCCTGGGAGGAGCCCAAGCAAATGGGTTCTCCATGGTTGCACAACTGTGTACTCCCAAACCATGACCACCAAGACATATCTAAGGAGTCTTCTTATCAAGGGTGAAGTGTGTGTGTATGTGTGTGCTTGAGTGTATGTGGTGTGTGTATATGTGTGTGTGTGTGTGTGTCAGAGAGAGAGAGAGAGAGAGAGAGAGAGAAAGAGAGAGTAAGTCAGAGTTCTGATCACTTGGACTGATGCCCACTGGATGGTCTTGACTGGACCAAGTTCTTAGCACTGGACTTGTGAGAGACCACAGAGAGAATTTCAAGTCCCACCTGGTTCAAACAACAACTCCACACCCAAATGTTTCTCCTGCCATGCCACAAGGCCCTCCTCTCTGTGGCCTTGCTTCCCTGTGAACCCAAAAGTTCTTTCTTAAATTTGGAGCCTGGGCTGCCTGGAAGGAGCTGCCCACAGGCAACGCTGGGACTTTGGAAGCCTTTATCTCCATAACCCTATTCCTCACCCCAGTCCCCCACAAATGTGGCCAGCTCACAGTCCCTCCCCAAGGCAGCCCTTGGATCTTCTCAGATGGGAAGGCACACCCAGACGCCCAGGCATAAACCACTTAGAGGAGACCTTGTCTGCTTCCCTTTGAGCTGTCTGCCTTTCCTGGAATTTATGTTAGAAATAAGACTAGGGGAGAGCAAACATGAAAGTTGTGCACTCTCCCTGGGATCTCCTGGCCTTATTCTAAGAAGAGGCTGAATTTCTTAGGGCAAGGTCTGAGACAAAGGAACTATCTTTATCAAGGCCTCCACCTTCTGTGACAGACTTGGCTCCGCCCATTG